CCCAGCATGCTCCTCAGCCTTCTGGTTTCTGCCCAGCGCGTTTTGAGGCTGCTTTTGGCAGGTGGTGGGAACAAAGAACTTGAGTTCAGGTATAATTGTCCAGTGTGTCACTGAGAAGGCCTGGGCACCCCCCTCCCACTTGTTTTATTTTCTTTGTCTCTCTTTCTATTTCTCACTCCCTTCTTTCTCCTCTCCCTTCTTGCCTCCTTCCTGTCCTTTTCATTTTTCTTCCAAAATTTTAAAAATTAAAGAAAAGGTAACACCATAATAACTTCATGTACTTATATTAGAACTGACACTTTCACCTTTTTGGTCCTTTTTGGTTACAGTCTTTTTAAAATTAATCAAATGGTTTAATAATTTGTTTCTTTACCTCAGACCTATTTTCCTCTCCAAAGGTGATCTTCATTACAATCTTCTAATACTTTACAATTACGCTGAGTAAAAAGCAATATATATTCTGTGTAGTTTTAAAAGTTCACATAGGTACATATTCACATGTGATTTTTCCCTTTTTTCTTTCTCGCTTAGCAGGGAGATCTTTTTGCTTCAATATATAGTTCAACTAATGTATTTTTAATCAACTTGTATATTTAACACATCTTATTTCCTTGAATTTTTTTTTATCGATGCTTACTTGGGTATAATTTTGATAATGACCATACACAATATTATGCATATTGAGAATATTGTGATTATTCTTGTGTGTGTCTCCTGGTGTGGGTTTGTGAGAACTTCTTGCAGGTGAACACCTAAGTGTGCTGATGGATGGTATTCCAGGTTACGTGGTGAAGTGCTCATTAGAGTTATACCAGTAAGAAAGATCCTGAACTCCTCAGAAATACTTTGTTTTGTGAGACTTGAAATACTATGCCAATCTAGTGGAGAAGAATGATGTATCACCATTGTTTTAGTTTGCATTTCAAGTTGTTTATGGAGTGAGCAGCTTTTCACATGTTTCTTGGCTTACAATGAAGGCCCCTCTATAAATTGTATTTACTGGTTTTCACCCTAACTTATGATTCCTCACTTTATGGGAGCCAAGGAGAGCTTCTTAGGGATCGAGTTCATGTACACTTTATAGTCAGCAGCCATGACCATCTCCAGATGGTCACCAGGCAGGGAAATTTGGGGGCATTTCCCACTGGAAAGATCTTTATAGCCTTTAAATTCAGGTCTTTTGTTGGTGTTCCCACTTTGATCAGGAGAAAAGTTCAGTTATTTATCCAGGGCATTCCTGTCTCCCCAGTGGGAGAATAGTCTGTAGTGACCAGTTTTTAAAATAATTCTACATGGATCTCTTGGTGACTTAAAGCAAACTGTCCTATCTGGTCTTAGATCCAAGAACTTATATCCAGGTATCTGACTTATTTTCATCTCAAGAATGCCATGAATTTACCACTGGCCAAATTTATCCTGCCTTTCCTTCTTTTCTTGGGTATTGGCAACTAGAACACTTGAAGTTAACCTTGTAAAGTCCTTTGCCAACAAGTCTATGCATTTAACCTTAGCTCTTTAGTTCTAGTGATGTTCTCCCTTCCTTTTCTGTGTTCTACTCCTTCCATTTTAATTTGTTATTTCATTTTATTTAATATAGCTGGGAATTTAAAAATTAGACAGCTGATGAAAAATGAAATAAAAATGTTAAAGAGGGCACCCTTCACAAAAAGTTACAATAGGCGCTATATGCTACAGATGCTATGAATGCAGTGAGTAACTGGCCCCGGTGTAAGCGTGCAGGACACAGTGATGATCCAGGCAAGAGGGTAGCTGGACTGTCAGGTGATTTTGGAATAGCCACAGCAACTACACAAGTTCACCTGGAGGCAGTGGAAGGTGCTCAGGAAGTCCTGGCTGTCACTACAAATGAAACTTTTTTTCTGCTGTTTTGCTGCTAGTTGCAAGAACAAAGCATTAACTCTTAGGTGTCTCTGCAATGGGGGAGACAAGTGAGAAGAGTCATAGTTTCTGTTGAAAATGTCAATGGATTGAAAGTCTTAGGAAAATGTATCTCAAGTAAGATAATTTTGAAACATTTCATAAATACTCTTGATGCTAAAAGTTGTTTGAGGAGAAATTTGGCCACTAAAATGTTTCTTTCTTCTCTGTGTGGTATCTACAGAGAAGAGAATGAGTTTTTCCTTCAAATCTCCTAGGAGCCAGGCCCTTGGGATGAGGGAGACTAAGATCTTTGAGGAAAGCATGAGTTTCTGTCTTGGATGTTGCCTCATTACATAATTAGGGATGTGTTTATATGGGTCTTTTACAAATTATTTCTCTTTGATATAATTTTATTTCTTTAGAACATTTACTTCTACTTTATTGCTAAAACTTGCTTTCTAAAAATGCATCACCCTTACAATACATAGCTTGTTATCTTTTTTGCTTTTCTGGCTTGGGTAGAAGGGACATATTTCTTTCCCATTGGTTACTACGGTATTCATTTTAACTCATGTTGATGACAGTAGGGACACTTATTTGTTTTCAATATATTAATTGGGACATAATATTTATCTTATAATTTTTGAAGGAGAAAGTGAAAAATCCATCCTGTAACAACTTCCTGTAGTAATTTTGGAAACTTCAAGGGTAGTCTGTCTGTCCGCCTACTCATCTACCAACCACCCATCTTCCATCCATCCATTCATCCACCCATCCATCCATCTATCCATCCATCCATCCAGCCAGCCAGCTAGCCATCCATCCACCCATTCTACCATTTCTACCACCTATCTCTCCATCTACCACCCATTTATCCTTCATCATTTGAACACCTACTTTGTGTAAGGTGCTTTGAAGATGCTGATACACACATTATGAATGATAAAACAGGATAAAGCTGTCTTCAAAGAGGCTGTGATCTAAGAACAGTGAATAGACATGTATTCAAATTACTACAGCACAGGAAAATTCCATGATGGTACTTTTAAGAGTTTTGTGTTTGCGTTTGTATTACTAGGAATTGTCTTGGTTACAGGTGACAGGAATTCATATCAAACTTTGGTTAGTGACGTCTAAACTCAGAAATAACTGGAACATAGACTCAGTGGCACAAACACACACACACACACACACACATAAACATAGGTAAAGTAGGGGCCCTCCCTGGTGGTGCAGCGGTTAAAGCCAATACTAAGAAGCTACAGCCACTTCTGCATGAGTTCAATCCCTGCCCACCCCGGAGGTGATCCCACA